ATTTTAGCTGTGTAGCTATGGGCTTGTGGTGGTCGCCGGGTGGATGTCACAACCAGTTTTGTCGACTGAGTGTGGAGATCACTGACGCATATGCGTATCTCGGCCTGATTGCTTAAAGTATTCTCTGTGAATCTGAGCCCAGCGGGGGGGGCGACTATGTGACTTTGGTGGTTTAATCTCCAGTAACCATGGTAGTAGTCTCAGGGCTGTTGCAAACGGAGGGGTAGTCGATTTCTCCCACTCTGTCCTCAACCATCATGTTGTTATTTAGTTGTGTCGCTTGCACAAAGCGTCCTCTAGCCCAACTTAGGGCACAACACGTTCGGGGATTAGCTATTCATGCCAGGATAGTATTTCCTGTACTGTAATGGTATCTAACTGCTAAGACATACGCACAGATGGTAGTTAATAGGAAAAATGTACGGTTTCGACGAAGGTAAGCGATACGTTGATAATTCGCATTCAGCATTGAAACAGCAACCATTGTTACTGCTACGACTTGTGCTTGGACTGCTCTAGTAGTGGTATTGCTATTTCTATTCTTTTTTGATAGTGCGAGAGTGCAAGAACCATAAAATAAGAAATGGTCAATACAGTAACGTGAGAACACACTACAAGTACTACCCTAGAGGACACCAGTACATCATATTAGTATCACGTAAGTATAGTACGACAGTTTAAGTCGGTGCAGCAGGAAAGGGCATATTTTAGTGACGCTGGTAATAGTAGTGGTAGCGATAGTGGTGCTACTAGCACATCCGGGCTTCCCTTGGTTTCCGCCCGTATCCAGTGCGTAAGGAAGACCAGGGCAACATTCTCTGCTGAGCTATCCGAGATGGGAAAGGCAATGGGCCATCGTGTGAAACGATCGCGAGCGGTCAGAATATGCGTGAAACCGCGCGATAGATGTAATGGTCTGACTAAGTCCAAGTGGACATGATGTAAACGGACGTCCGGAACCGCGAACATGCTCGGGGGTGTAAGGGTATGACGCTGGACTGTATCCTTATGGCAGGCTAAACCCTGCCTAACCGAAAGCGCTATGTTGGCGTTCATCTGAAGCCAGACGAAACGAGCCGAAATGAGCTTGCGGCCGGCACGAACACCGGGGTGGGACAAAAGGTGGAAATAATCTAACACGACCTTACCATATGACTGTGGCACTACAGGCTGGACATGGTCAACCTCCAATTACCCTGGTAATTGGTCACTTAATTTTAATCCACAAGTGACTTTTGTTAAGTTCCCTTAACCACTTCCCCTTTCTCCCTATACGTTGACTTAATAGAGTGTCCTTTAACAATTTTTATTTAAACTGAAACACGGTCCTTGCTGTTATGCCACTGATTCTGTGAAATTTAAAACTGTTGTATGTTCTGTTCGTTATCATCATCACGCAGCGGCAAGATGCAGCTGAAAAAACTGTCACGAAATTTATTGATGTCAATAAATCCTGCCGTTTACACCTGTTTTAAGTTTGCACTGGGGAGCAAACGCTTCAAACTTCCAGGGGTCTGAATATTAAGTATCTTGACATTTCGGAGTCTGTGTGCACCGTACTCGCCAATAAACGGTTGACTGTTGTGATAGCCTACCGAAGCAGAACTGTGTAAATGTTTCACGAGGTCCTAAGGGATTTTATTGATGTCCCAATTAATTCACTTGAACAACTAAAAAGTTGGACACCTCCCCTTCATGCTGATGAGACGATCTGCAGTTTTCTTAATAATGGAGGTTTTGTTGATGGTACGCAGCTTAAATTCTCATTTAGTAAGACCAATCCACGTTCTATAGAGGCCTCGATCTTCCAAAAGTTATGTTTTGCCACGACATGGCTGGGGGTTATTTGGAATTTGACAGAACCATCAAACCAACCGCCGAATTTCCATCGTTTAGATATGTTCATTGGCATCTTATTGACGTTTTTGTCTACTTCAGCCATCAGAACATAACTATTCCACCAATTGGTTGGATTAATGTAGCCCACAGGTATCGACTTGTATTCATTATCGGTGCAACGCTTTCGGTAATCATAAACATCGGTAACCATGCGGCAATGACAATTGCAACGGCTGGCTTAGCTTTTACAGTTTGATAATATGTGCACATATCAGTTATTTATAGAATTCATTCCTTTTCTTCTACTTCACGAGCTCGTCAGCTATCTATGCATTTGCCAGTCATTTAATTGTAGAAGCAGTACTAAAATTTGTTCGTATTTTGTGGTTCTTTAGTTAATATTAATTGATTTCGGGGCTGCAAGGGTTAGTCAACATTCGTTTTAGCTCCCGATGTCATCACCTTGCACCCACCGAGTGGTTTAAATTGATGCATGACTTGTAACGCTCTGTTCAACAGAAGTTATATCTTACGTGTCCTTGTTTGCGGCATCTTCAAAAAAAGAGCAATTACGCACAACTATTCAGGACGAATCCTGTAGACTGGAGACTTACAACACACCATCCTATCGCTCTATGTTTTCTTTTTATCAGACACAACGTAAAAGTCTACGGCACCTTCATTCTTGAAGACTCTGCCAATGAATTTTTTGAGAGAGTGTTCTGTCGCAAAAATATTCCCAAGGGCTCCTTCTCCCCGAATGTTGGTGAACTGGCGATGTACCTTGATAAAATCCGTCGTCAAATGAAGTTTGAGGGATGGCTTATAAACATGGAAATTGAATTTCCAAAGGTATATTTAATTGTCTTCAGTACAATCAGTCACATCTCATATATTTTGTCCCCTATAGTTTTGTCATATACACTTGCTGTAAACTAATATGCACAAAAATTCGAGGTCCAGATATAATATTACTTTCATCCCAGAAATTGCCCCTCTTCTTCCGGGGATGATGAAAGGAATACTTGCTATAAACGCATTTCTGTCCACCTTCTCCTTTCTTAAGCTGTGTAAAAACTTTTTGCTGTTGACTTCTTACTATGGCTATATTGCGCAATCTAAGATTCGTAGCAGGTAGTTGTATTCCTGTCGGTTTTAAAAGGCATTGGTTAGATACCTTTGGATATTCTAACTTATTATTAGATATTCAGAGCGTTCAAGGCTTATGTTATGCAGAAAACAGGTGAAAAGCACCCCCAATAGTCGTGAGGCGGCTTCTTTGAAAGGACGAATGTAAGTCGACAAAAGTTGGCCGGAAAATGAGGAATAAAACTTTTTTTTTAATGCGAATTTATGTGTTTGCACAAATATGCAGTATACTTCAAGGACACCCTTAGACTTTCTTATGCTGTTTTGGCGTGCTTCAAATGCATATTTCGCACTTTCACAGCATGAAGAACAAAAAACGCTGAATCGAATGCTTCACTTCCTTCGTCGCCTCAAAGCATGCGGTTCGGAAGTAGTATGGCAAGTAACAGTTCCGTGGCGTATAATCTCAGCTTTATTATTTTTGTCTCTTTTGTTTGCTTGAATGGCTGACTCATTTATAGAACCAGGTATCTCCGTTCTTTTCATTTGACTGTGGCCTTACGCCCACTAAAGTGGCATCCATTTTCTCCCTATTTTCAGAGCCTCCTCTCTTCCTTCTCCTTTTCCACCACCACCACCACCACCACCACCACCACCACCACCACCACCACCACC